TGGGACTTGGTCACAATTTTTGTGATGCCATATGGCAGCAGGGTCTACCATTAGACAACACATTATGCTTCCAATGTCTTCCCAGGCAGTAGTACCTCCTTGTTTGATAGCTGCCTACTACCTCCTAGTGTACTGTATGTGTAATGAATAAAGGAAAAACACAGGCTGCTTAGGACTTCAAAGTCAAGCATCATGGCAATGCCAAACAGATGGTAGTGACTTCTTACCTCTCTGATTCTTCAGTGTACATCTTATCATGTATTTGATACACAAAATTATTAAAATTATTTCACAAAATTACCTTCAGGCTATATGCATCCATATGTCATAAATGATTTATAATTGAATTTCGTGCAAAGACTTGGATCCCATCCTGGGTGAGCTACCACATTATACAGGTATACATGATATAGGCACTGTATTCCCAAATTTGAAAATATCTCCAATTTGAGACACCCCAAGTATATTTTGGATAAAGGACACCCAACCTGAACTAATATTAACTTAATGAATGGTTTTCATGGAACCTAACCCATTAAGTATAGCGAGGGATACCTGAATAAAAAATGTGGCCTTTGCTCTTTATAAGTTGTGATGATATACTGTGGTCCTTAAAAATACCATTAAAATAAATAACAAAAACAAAACCCAAATATATAATATAAAATGTAATATATATATATATATATATATATATATATATATATATATATATATATATATATATATATATATATATATATATATATATATATATATAAAAAAAAAAAAAAAAAAAAAAAAAAAATATATATATATATATATATATATATATATATATATATATATATATATATATATATATATATATATATATATATATATATATATATATATATATATATATATATATATATATATATATATATATATATATATATATATATATATATATATATATATATATATATATATATATATATATATATATATATATATATATATATTTATATATATATGATTATAGCTGAACTTTCACTTGTGATTTTTTTTTCCACATATACTGTGATGAGAATTTCCAGACCTTATTTTAGATTTGCCCCACCCGCCACCTGCCTGACTCTGTTTTAGCTCATAAATTCATACAAATTACCGGCCAGAATATAATTTACATTGCTGGAATTCTTATAATTTGGTGATCATTTTGAATATAAACATCATATTTTTGCATTAGACATACAAATTTTAGATAAAATTTTCTCAAAGTAACTATGTTATCTTTTGTGCAAAATATATGACATTTATATTCAAAATATTCCTAATCTTACAAGGAATCAGCAATGTCAATTATATTATCCTAACTTTAGTTTGAGATTATTTATTAAAATTTAGTGGTTATCACACATCTCCTTGGGACGGTTGGTGGGTGGGGAGGAAGGAGGACCGACCGACCATCTGTTACCCTGTGAAGAATTATTTTTTTTTTATTAACTGAAGATATTTGTTTTAGCTCATAAAATTCATACAAATTATCGGTCTGAATATAATTTACATTGCTGGAATTCTTATAATTTGATGATCATTTGAATATAAACATCATATTTTTGCTTAGACATACAAATTTTAGATAAAAATTTTTCTCCAAATTAACTATGTTATCTTTTGTGCAAAATATATGACATTTATATTCAAAATATTCCTAGTCTTACAAGGAATCCCAGCAATGTCAATTATATTACCTAACTTTAATCTGAGGTATTATTTAAT